ATGATTTAGTTGGGGATTGGTCCTACTTTGACCGAGGGGGTTGGACTAGATGACCTCCTGAGGTCCCTTCTAATCCTGATATTCTATGATTTTATGATTCTATGAACCTGAAATGCTTTGCAATCTGTATGTATTGTCTCATCCTTGCACACCAAAAACCCACAATCAATTCAGTGGAAGTGGGTCTTGCCCACATGCTCAAAGTCTAACTGATCGCCATATTTGAGGTTGGGAAGGAATTTTCCCTGGGGTCAGATTGGCAAAGATCCTTGGGGGTGGGGAGAAGGGTTTCGCCTTCCCCTGGATCATGGGGCATGGGTCACTTGCAGGTTTAAACTAGTGTAAATGGTGGATTCTGTGTAACTTGAAGTCCTTAAATCATGATTTGAGGACTTCAATAACTCAGTCAGAGCCATGGGGTCTATTACAGGAGTGGATGGGTGAAGTTCTGTGGCCTGCAATGTGCAGGAGGCAGACTAGATGATCATGAAGGTCCCTTCTGGCCTTGAAGTCTATGAATCTGAGAGTTAGGTGAACACAGAATGCAGGTTTGGTCCTTTAGGGCCTGATTCAAAGACCACTGATATCAGTGGAAAGACCCATCCTGAATTCAGTGTGCAATGGATTGGGTCTTAATATTGTTCCCTCTAAAATACCAAACTTAACCCTCAGCTTCAAATTGCTCTTTACTGACTCCACCTTGCTAACTCAGGGTTGAAAACGGAACCCTACCCCTTTGTTTACACAGTTCACTGAGAAAATGTTAGTTCTTTACCAGCTCTAGGCCACATCTCCCTCTACTTACTCCACAGTCTCCATCTTCTTAAACAGTGGGACAAATCCAGTGTACACCATGCAATCCCAGCAAAATCAGTCTCTTCTGTCAAAAGCTTCCCTTTCTGAAATAGGTTAGCTCTTATACTTGGCATAGCCCTAAATAGTCACTTTTGTGTTGTTTGTTTGGACACCAAACACCTGAATCATAACTTTCCAGATGCCAGTTAGGTTTGTTATTGATACATCCCCTGACTTTGGGGATGGGAGGAGAGGAATCTCTCTCGAAGCAGTTCAAGTAAAATAAATATTGATCTGACGCTCTACTAAAATGTCCCAACTTCTGAGCTTTTGAGCATTGAAAAAAGTGAAGTTCATTTACTTTTTGCCTGCAGTTCTTGTGTAGTAACCGTTCTCACTTTCACCTGGAAAATAAAGCTAGAAACTAGAAATATTATAAGAAAGTCTCTCATGGAACTAGAGATCATTAAAAAATGAGGCCTCTTTCCGCAAGAGAGAGTCTCTTTGTTTTCATCCAAATTTGAATTTCATCTACATTCTTCCTAACCATCCCCACCCCCCAAAAAAGTCAGAGAATTTTTACTAGCTCTACATTAAACTATCAGCAGAATTAACCAGAAAGAGTTTTGGGTAAGTTTGGATAAACTTTCGGTTTTCCGAGTCCTCTCTGAACTGAACCTTTGGAGATTTGCCCCACACCAATTATTTTAGCATCACCTAATTATCCAAGGATACTAGATCTCTGTCCCAGTACAATTCTAGCTCAGACACAAAACCTTGGAAACTTAGTATATTTTAAACACTTCCTTGTTCCAACCTTCGTATATTTTACATACTTTTGTTGTGTAATTGTGCACAAATATTTACATTCAGAACAAGTTGTTACGACAGATGCTCTGACACTTTTCCTACTGGCACACTTCTAATACCTCTACACAGACCTCAGAACTTATGTCATGTCTTTTACCCTCGCTCCCCTCAGTTTCTTCCACTGAAATCAACCCATATAGTCTCTCTCTAAGAGTGAGACTCCCATGTTATATATGTATATTTGTGCTTGTTTTGTTTTTTCTTTTACCCTCCAAAACCCCGCAGGCTATCATTGTTCTACAATATGGCTGTCAAGACCGTTGCTGAGCATGAGCTAATTAAAATCAGCAATAGACTGTGTCCAAAAAAGCTTGTTTCTCTTGTGATTCATATGCATGGTGCTGAAGGGACTTTAATAACCCAAAAGCAAATCCTAGAAAAGAAACAACTCCATAAAAGACACTCTGGAACCACAAATACAATAAGAAGCAGACTCCATTGAAAGCCTTCTACAGTACAGCTTCTGTTTCCAAAACAGTCATTAGGAGAATGAATCTTGCAGTGAAAAATAAGTTTATCAAAAAGATCTGTGCGCAAGCTAATTTGATCAGGCATTTTCTAAAAAGTAGGCCAGAAGAGAAGAAAGATTACTTCTGGCTAAAATGGAACAAATTAAATTATAAGACGCTTAATACATTTATTTTCAATTTAATTGCATAACCTAATGTCAAGGTTATTATATTCTGCACGGTGTTCTCATCCTAACTCAAAACAGTAAAGCACAAGCTTGGTTTGCAGCTAATTTATTACAAATCCAACTGCAGACTCTTTTGGCCTATGAGATATGCACAGATTGTGATTGCCTTAACTCTATAACTCCAGCCACTGCCTGAGCTGCGTGCATGAATATAAAATTACATTTCAAAAATTACTTTGAGATCTCTCCTTGGCGATGAATTCTGATGAGACCAGAAGCTTTCCTGAAGGAAGTATGACAATCTGCATCTTTCCCACTGAAGGTGAAAGGCAAAAGAAACAAAGCAAAGCCCAGAGACAGTGCTAGCCAGGGGGCACAATTGCCTAGTGTAGTAGTAAAAGAGAGTATGATAAAACATAGTATCTAAAACTATCCACACCCTTATGCACGGAAACCACCAAAACAGCAGACTGTTGCTCATTAGTGATCCAGGCTCTTCTGAGCTAGTTACAGGATCTGAATTTGGCCAGGACCTAAGTCATTTTTTTAACTCTCTCTCTCTCTCTCTGTGGGCCCTACCAAATTCATGGCCATGAAAAACACGTCACAGACCGTGAAATCTGGTCCCCCCCTGTGAAATTTGAGACCAGCATTTATAAAACTGGGGGTCCTGATCCAAAAGTGGGTTGCGGGGGGATTGCAAGGTTATTTTAGGGGGGGTTGTGGTATTGCCACCCTTACTTATGAGCTGCCTTCAGAGCGGGGTGACCAGAGAGCGGCAACTGCTGATTGAGGGCCCAGCACTGAAGGCAGCAGCACAGAAGGGTGGCAATACCATACCATGCCCATCTGCAGTGAGTTTGTGTTTGAGACAAAGGATGTTCAAGTCACATGGCAGAGGATATAAAAAGTCAACTGCATCATCTCCATTTTGTCTTCAGTCCTGCTTCTTACTGAAGTAACTTCTTTACAAATGGAAGCTTAGAATAAAGGACTGATAGACCCATCCACGCTTTGTATGTGTTCCAAAGGAACTTTACAAGCTAGCAAACTCACCAGTGCTGCTAAGAACCTGATGCATAGAACTTTGGAGTCCATAAATGTATCTGATTGTTTTGACCATTAACAACTCTCTTCTGGTTCTTTTCTTTTATAATAAACCTTTAGATTTAAATACCAAAGGATTGGCTGGCAACGTGGTATTTTGGATAAGATCCAAACTAATATTTATCTGGTAATGTGGCTGGTCCTTTGAGAAGCAGAAGCACATTTAGTATAGTGAATAGAGTTTTAAGTAACTTCTCACTTTACTAGACCGATTTGCTGATTGGGAGCCAGAGACTGGAATGCAATAAAGGGGGGCTGTGTGATTTCTTTTTTCTAGCTTCTTGATAACCAGCGTAGGGGATCAGGACCATAGTTTTGTGGCTGGTTGGTGAGTCTAACTACAATGTTAAACATCAGTTTTGGGAGAACGTGCTTTCCTTTTTGCAGCCTGCCCTGCCCTTGCATTTTCAATGTGGGTTACCCTAGGCACCTTGAGTCACACCACTGTCCTACAGAAACTGATTTAACTCAAACGTATTCATTGTTCATTGCAAAGCAAATTAGCACATGTACAGCACTGATTCTTTCAATCAGGCCACACCCATGTTTTCAGGGGAACAGATCCCTGCTGACACAGCTGTATTGACAAGTTAAATTTGCAAGAATAGAGTGACAGTTGTAAAGTGGGAAATTTTTGAAAAGGCAGAGAAGTGAAAAAACTTACCCCAAACTCATCCCTCCACTGATGTGCTGCTTGAAATGTCTCTGCTTCTTTTGCAAGGTTCTGAGGAAAAAGAAAGAGACATTTATTTTGGTGTTTTCAATACTTGTCTTAATATAATGATGCTTGTAAACAATGGTCCTTATAGGAATACCTATTTTTCTAACCCTCATAACATCTAGCTGCATAACGGTATCAACATGACAATGAGATATAACAGGTGCTAGGCCGATTTCAGTGTATAGTTTCTTAAATTTCTTATTTATTTATTTTTTGTGGGGACACTAAATTTGATGAACAAATATGAGATCACTGTGAAGACTTTTAAAGATGCCCGTCTACAAGTGGAATGTACTCAATATATTGGACCCTCTGCTGCACATCCAGTTGAGCCCACAGGGTAAAGACCAGGGCACCTGTATAAAGCCCAAGAAATAATGCCTTACTCAGGTTGTTCACCCTGCAGTGGTGTGTGAGAAACAAATAATATGCAGTTATTTGTAACATAATATAATATGTCCTGCAGGAAGGACACTGGGCTTTGGAAAAGAGGCATTGCCATACTGGATATTAATGATCTTCCACCTCATCTCTTCTTGGCTGCTAGCTCAGCCTGTAGACTTGAACAGTAACGGCCATTTCAGTGAGGTTTCCACATTATTTTCATCTGCCTAATACCAATTACTATTACAAGCATTTATTTGTTACCCATCACTGTGGTGACATAGATATCACAAGATATTCTGAGCTATTAGATATCATGACATGATTAAGTTGCCTCCTTCATAGGTCCCACTTTGTGTTTCATCTCCTTTCCTGTCTAGTCACTGTAAAACTCGTCTCTCTCACCAACAGAAGTTGGTCCAATAAAAGATATTACCTCTCCCACCCTGTTTCTCTAATATCCTGGGACCAACATAGCCATAACAACACTGCATATTCACTGTGAAGCAATTTACACCTGAATTGCCCCTCTCTAAGTCAAAGAATTCTTTCACCCAAAATTTCAGAAATCCAACACTTGTGGTAAAGCTCTTATCAACCCCATCCCTCTATGGTGCTCAACTCACATACATTTACGTAAAGGGTAAAGCTGAATTCCTAATCAAATCCGTTAGGAAACACGGGAGTTACAATACTAGAGCAAGCCTCTGACCCTATCTAGTTTGTTGTCCTCCCTCTGGCAGTAACCAGTTCCTGATACATCAACAGGCTCGGACAATAAACTATTTATGCAAACATCATGACCTTAGTCAATGTAATCAATGCATGACCACTAGAGCAGATCATTCTCTGTAGTATGACGATTGACATCCCTTGTTACTTTTTAACCTAGACACTGTAGTTGTAACTGTTTTTTCTCATACATGTAAATACATAATACTTTTTTTTAAAATCTCATTAACTTATTTACTTCTTTCTTCTTATTAAGTGATATTGCTATAGGTACACTCTCTTTATATATATTTAATGTATTTATTTAAATGTGTTGCCTTTCAATTTTATTATGCAATAAGGGTCACGGTGAAGGGAGAATGACTATCCCTTCGGATTCTTCTTGTGTCAAAATGTGATAATCCTTTTTATTTATTTTTCATTTTAAAACCCTCCTCATATGTAATTCCCAAGACTTTTCTGGTTCCCCTCTCTAGACATTTCCCTTTTTCAGCTATGCTCTGAGATGAGGTAATACAAAATTAATACTCAATTGAGTAAAAACATGCCATATATTCAAAAAATGCCATTATATTTTCTGTTGCTCCTTTTGCTCACCCAAGCATTGTAATCACTATATAGACTAGCTGAGCACATGCTGACCAGGACTACTTCAACCTTTTCCTTGACAGGTTCTACCTAATTCATAATCAGTGTTTCTGAAAAGGTCTCTTTCCCTAACATGCATACCCTTGCACTTACCACCATTAATTTAATCTGCCATTATGTTACCCAATCACTAAGATTTATTAGATACTGGAAATAATGTGTTTGCGAGCATATATTTCTGCATACATTTTACCACCTAAATACTTACCTCACATTATAGGTGGGGTTAATAGCACCACCTATTAAGGTTGCCAGACACTTCCCGCTATAAGACCACAGAAAAAAACAATGAGAGGTACTTGTGGCACCTTAGAGGCTAACAAATTTATTTAGGCATAAGCTTTCATGGGTTAAATCCCACTTCATCAGATGCATGGAGTGGAAAATACAATAGGAAGATATATATATACAGTACATGAAAATATGGGATTTGCCTTACCAAGTGGGGGGTCAGTTCTAACGAGACAATTCAATTAAAGTGGGCTATTATCAACAGATCAAAAATCACTTTTGTAGTGGTAATCAGGGTGGCCCATTTCAAACAGTTGACAAGAAGGTGTGAGTAACAGTAGGGGAAAATTAGCATGCAGAAATTAGTTTTTAGTTTTTGTGGTGACCCATCCACTCCCAGTCTTTATTCAGGCCTAATGTAATGGTGTCCAGTTTGCAAATTAATTCCAGTTCTGCAGTTTCTCGTTGGAGTCTGTTTTTGAAGTTTTTTGGTTGAAGAATTGCCACTTTTACATCTGTTATCGAGTGTCCAGCGAGGTTGAAGTGTTCTCTGACTGGTTTTTGAATGTTATAATTCTTGACGTCTGATTTATGTCCATTTATTCTTTTGCGTAGAGACTGTCCGGTTTGGACAATGTACATGGCAGAGGGACATTGCTGGCACATGATGGCATATATCACATTGGTAGATGTGCAGGTGAACAAGCTCCTGATGGTGTGGCTGATGTGGTTAGGTCGTATGATGGACCATCAGCGGCTCGTTCCCATGCTCAGAAATTTGACAGAGGACTGGCCTTTTCCCAACCCTATGAAAATCTGCCCATATATGGTCAAGTTACAAGCCTCTGGGAGAGAAGGGGGACAGTGTGGAAAAACAGTTCACACATGCGCAGTAAAGACTGGCTAGAGCTTTGCAGCTAATAAATGCTGATGATTCCATCTGCACCAAGCATGCTCCAGGCCAGGGCTAAGCAGGAAATTATCTGCAATTACAGCTCTGGGCTGCTGCAAGCTGGGGCCAGGCTGGCACCAGAACTAAAAGCAGGGAAGTTTTCTTTTCTGTGCTCTCAATCTCCCCACGCTGGTGTCCAGGCAGCAGGGAGGAGGAAGCTTCCTGCTTGGAATGCACAGGTACCTTCTGGCATTTCCTACATTTTGAGGACTTGACTTTGCAGCCTTAATAGTGTTCTTTTGATGTAGCTTTGATTTGGGGGTTTTGTGTGTGTGTGTTTGTTTGGGGTGAGGGTGAAACAGAGATGTAGATATAGATGTCTCATGCAAGTCCTCACACAATCTGTGGAGAACTCCCACTACTAACTGCTTTAGCACCCTCTCTTTAAATTCATCTTCAGACTTTGTAATGAGAGTAGGACTTCTGTGAAACACCAAAGGAAGTGCACAAGGATATCAATAAACGCATTTCCATATGTTTATTGCACAAGAAAAACCTTTCTAACTGGCCTTTGTTACAAGGAAAAGGCAATTCAAAGACCAATCCTTCATTTTAATATCCAACTCAGGCAAAACAGTGTAAAGGAGGTATGTTATTAGAGATATGTTCTTAGAGGGAAGAAAGTGGACTAGATGGCTCAGGGCGATTGATAACAGGATTCTAAAACTCTCTGATCCTAGTAATCTATTTGAATCTAGTTCAGATCAATAGTGAATAAAATTCATTACCCTCTGATGACATCTTGGTCTCTATGGGACAGATCCAAAGTCAATTAAGGTCAATGGAAAGATCCCCATTGACAATAGGTTTTGGATCAAATCTTACGTGAAATGAATTAGTGGTGTCAGTTTCATTTCCAGTTGACCGATAGCAACAATAGTTTTATCATGTGGAAATTGTCACTTTTGTTTGCAGTCTCAGCAAAGAGGCCAAGACCTGAATGATCACCACCCTGCTGGTGGTGCCTTTAGAAAGGAGTTTGACCACAGTGGTTGGTGGGAGACTAATAAGACGCTTCCATTGGTGCTGTCAGTGTTGGACCAGCACTATGGACAGAGGAAGTCAAACTCCTGGACTGACAGGCTGGCACATTTCACAAGCATTGCATTAATTTTAACTCATTATTATTATTTACTTGCAATCATCCTATAAACAATGTCAAAGCCTAGCCTGTTCGACTGCCAAAGAAGAGCTGTGCCCACTCTACTGTGTTAGGCAATTCAAACTATTCATAGCTAATAGGAAATTACTGATGTCTTATCAGCATTTCCACCCACAATTACCTTCCAACTGGCCAACTTCCATATTTGCAAAACAAAAATAATTCCATTATAACATGATTCATTATGCTGGGACAAAGCATGGCTTGCCCCCATACAACTCATTAGATTAATTCATTACCTCTAATACCTCAATGTGATAATGCACTGGCATAATGCAATGGGATGGGGATTTATAAATCCCCATTTCTTTACTCGATACAGCCAGTTCTGCATCAAATTATAGAGGATGTGCTCTGATGAGCTATAGCTGGTTAAACCATGTTTCATAATAATATAGCAAAGTGTGACCTCACCATACAAAACTATACAACACAGATATTTATTTGTATTGGACTCCTTACACATGCCTCAATATACCCTTGAAGGACAGCTCTGAATTGCTTCTGGTTTATAGAGAGACAAGAGGAACCCAAATGAGCCAAATTGGTAAACGGGTTACAATGGAGGAATATCTGTTTGCATTGTCCATACTAAGGATTTCAGAGAAAGTAAGGAGCAACCAGACATGAACCAGACATGAGCCTCTCTTTGAAATCTGTAGAGACTCTTGTTTAACAAGTTGTTCATTTTCCAAATAAAAACAATCAACCCTAAATAATAAAGCTACTTATCACTTCTGTAGCATTTTATAAATGTAGATCTCAAAATACCTTAAAAATATCTACCCACCTTTACATCTACATTTTGAATTTGGAGAAACTGACACACAGAGAGGTAAAGCCCCACATTTACAAAAGTGGCATTTAATTCCAGCTGCCCAATATTAGACAGCT